TCTTGAAGCCACTGGAGTGACATCCATGGCTTCAGCTGTCAGTAATTTCAATTTATCGCCGTCTACTTATTTTTCTCTGAATTTAGAGAAAAGGGCTCATTCAAGATATCCAGTTAGGGGCTTAGCCGACGGAGATTTAGCCGCGGCGGCCGCCGCCGCCGCCGCCGCCGCCGCCTTGACTTCTGATGCTCTAAAGGTCAACGGGGCAGTCAATGGGATTTTTAAGGAAGAGGAGAGTAAAAGGGCTCTTACATCTGACTATGAAAATGGTCATGTGAGCTCGATTGTCGAGGATAAGGTTGTTGACGAGGAAAAGTTGGAACCTTTATGGGACGATGGATATGGGTCTGAGACTGTGAAGAACTATCTTGATTATGCCAATGAGATAATCAAGCCCGATGAAGGCCCGCCCCGGTGGTTCACGCCAATCTCTTGCGGCCCGCATTTGCGGGATTCTCCTGTCCTGTTTTTCTTGCCTGGTAATTTGACTGATGATTAGATTCTATGAATCTATGTCTTCCTCTTCTTGAATATTAGGGTTGTGTGACGTTTTTAAGGATTTCTTTAAAGTGTGTGTAGAGTCCATTTGCTGTCTTTACTACCTAAAATGGTGCTTAAAAAGTCCTAAACTATTTATAACTCTAGTGGTTAATGTTCAGATTTTGTACTTGCAGGTATGGACGGTCTTGGACTCGGCCTTATTCTGCATCACAAAGCACTTGGAAAGTAAATATGTATATATATCTATGTTTTTTTGCTGAGATCACTGTGAATGAAATTAAAGTTATGAAGGAAAAAAAGAAGATAAGGGCATTAATTTGTTCTTACCATGTCTTTACTCTTGATCTTCTTCTGATAATTTTATTACATGATTTTCGAAGCGATGAAGCTAACTATGATTGGAATCTAGAATTTGTGCCAACTGAAAACCGTTTTTGATCACATAATGACTAAACTTGCTGTCAGATAATTGCATTTTTCACTATTTATCATAGTAGTTCATAAATATTGGTCTCAGGGTCTTTGATGTTTGGTGCATGCACATCCCGGTGCAGGATCGGACCCCATTTGAAGGTCTCGATTTTCTTTTGTTGCTTAATTTTTTTTAGATAGTTTTTCATTTGCTTACCTTCTATGATTTTATAATCAAAAGACTTACACTGTGGCATATGATGTTCTTCTGTGGCATAGTTTCATTCAACTATGACATTCTTGGTCTTGTAAACTTTCAGAACTGGTAGAGTGGGTTAGTCAAACTGTGAGAGCTGAGCACTCTTTGTCTCCAAATAAACCGATTTATATGGTTGGGGACTCATTCGGCGGATGCTTGGCACTTGCAGTGGCTGCTCGAAATCCCCAAATTGACCTTGTAATGATTCTAGCTAATCCAGGTTAGCTTTCATGAAAAACTGCCAATGATTTTTTTTCTAATTTGTGTATGATGTCTCTAGACTATAGAGGCTGCTATGGTTGGCAGTTGGGGTGAATTTTATATAATCGTTCTATTTTCCAATTTTGTTTTCTTCAGCAACTTCATTTGGCAGGTCACAATTGCAGCCTTTGCTCCCGTTTCTAGAAGCATTGCCCAATGAGCTTCACATCTTAGTTCCTTACATGTTGAGTTTTGTTATGGGTACGTTATGTGTTTTCTAATTTGAAAAATGTGACATCAGTTATTATCTCAATATTATCAGTCCCCAGATTCTATTTAGGTAACCTTTGTCTTATTTTCATGAAATCGAGCTACGAGAAGCTCTTTTTTAACCTTTTTCTTGTTTGAACACTAGGTGATCCTATGAAGATGGCTGCAGTGAATGTCAACACATTGCAGCCCCCGACAAAATACTTTGAACAGTTATCTGCCAATCTTACTGCTCTGCTACCAAGTCTTTCGGTATTGACATCGAGAGCTTATTATTCCCGAACTTGAACATTTTTTTTAACAGAATTTACCAAACAAAACCATGTTGACTATGGTGATATTAGAATTCTACTATTCATCAAAACATAACCCAAATGGAAAATAAGGAAGTACAAAGGAAAAATTTGATGCTCTGTGCACTTTATTTGCATGACATGTATTTAGGGGTTATGCATATTTGTATTTTCCTTTCCTTTTGGGAAGTAAATGCTAACCTCTTTTCCATTTAAATGAAATACGGGTAGGGGTTGGCTGATATCATACCTAAAGAAACCCTGCTTTGGAAATTGAAGCTTCTAAGAAGAGCAGCTGCTTATGCTAATTCACGTCTTCATGCGGTTAAAGCCGAAGTACTTGTTCTTGCTAGGTACTTCCTATCTTGATTAGTCTATTTTACATTTTTACCGTGTTACTATGTTGTTGCAATGATTAAAAGGCATATTGCTAAGTGACCACTCTCTTCTCTTTCTTCAAAGAGAAGGTGGAATCTCGTGACACTTTCTTTCCTTTTTACGAGTCTCTGATTCTGCAAATTAAGGCTATTAGTGACTATGTTTGTGGAGTTTCCACAAATCAAATTAAGAAACAACGATATACATTCCTACGGACCTTTTTTTTTTTTAATTTTTTAACTTCTGTAGTTTTTATTGTTGTTAACTTTTTAGTCCTTAAAATTTACCTTTTATATATTTACTTGATATCTTGCATTTGACTCATAGCATTTAAGCTGCAGAAATCATGTATTCTGTTTAACGATTATAATGATGATGCCTTTGAATTTCAGTGGCAAGGATAATGTGCTCCCCAGCCGAGATGAAGCTTGGAGGCTTTTGAGCTCATTGCAGAATTGCAGAATGCGATACTTCAAAGATAACGGGCATACCATATTATTGGTAGGTGAGAATTCAGATGATTAAGAATATTTTGAAGTGTCTATCCATTTGTTTACTCTCGAGCAAATCGTATAGTTTCTTTATTTTCTCTTAAAAGAAGAATGTTGCTGTGTATTATATATATCTTCATTTTTTTTTTTTTTTTTTTTTTTTTTTTTTTTTTTTTTTT